ACGCCCAGACTTAAACTTGTAACCAGAGGTGGGAACAGCGGAGGGATGTGGAGGGATGTGGAGGGATGTGGAGGGATGTGGCAGGTTGGGGCAATTGGGAAGTCAAGCCATCGCGTCTCCGCTTTCGAACCTCTGCTCTGCCAGAACACCATCACCACCATGTACCGTGCATGTGTGCCTGAGACATACACTCACATTCATAACGGGAGGGAGTACTGAGTGGAGGGGAGCGGAAGCTCGTACCAGGCGGACAACTATCCCCAAGTTTTTTCACCCGGTGATGAAACCCACCGAGATACGAGCACAAGATCTTCGTGGCGCCTTTCGCAAGACGCTGGCCAGAGGCGAAGGCTTAGCAACTTGGCATTCAGTCGTGTAACTACACATCCATTCAGCTTCTATTCCGTAGGTCTACACGGTCCCACAGCAGTGGTCTTGGCCCTTGGACCTGCCAAGCGTCTTTTACGGCATCTTCTCGTCGGGCGACCTTAAGGCCCGACATCGCACAGCAGAGCTGTCTTTCTTGAGAGATTCATGAGAGCCATTCTGAGCCACCGCTATTGGCTAGTGAAGGATGCAGATACCACGGCGCCGTGGTCTGCCGAAATTGAGCAGCAACTCTTCAATCCTAAGGACCCCACATGTTTCATCATGTTGCATGTACATCATCTTGCGCCCTCCCGAGTTAGTAAGCTTGCATCGACAGCAGGATCGCCTCGGATTTGGATACAGTGCATGTGAGTGCGCTTTCTTCCACAAGAGGCACCCTACGTCTCTGAGCTTTTCCGTTCCAGTCAGAGCATCGCGTGCGCGAGAGGTCAAAAACGCTGATTTGCACAGACGCGCTGGTCTATGTGCCTGAGGAAGCCAGAAATATGGTGTGTTTCGTCACATTCATTTTTCAAGCTTCTCTGATGAAACACAGGAGCCGCCTGCGGTTCTAGACAAGACTGAACTTCGAGGCGAATGGTCACTTCGTGCGAAACATTTGGTGTGGCATGGCGGTGGGCCCTTGTTTTCTGCAGACCTCGGTAAGACGGCCAACAACTTCATCCTCGACCTAGTCGCATTTGTGAACTGGAAGCTTGGTGGCAAAAGACGGTCTGGCTTGTGCATGAAAAGACGTGGGCAGCTGACTGGACGACATGATGACAATTGGCAGGCGAGGATCAGGAGACACAATCAGACAGGCCATAAAGGACTGACGACTGTGTGGGGCGGACACGTGCCATGATGACACTGACACAAATGACACAAGTGGCAGGAAGAAAGCTCTGGTCCGCAGCCTTCAGAGGACGCACTTCTCAGGCGCCCTGTCTGTCCCGGATGCACAGTTGCCGCAGAGTTGTTTCTAGGGACGCCGCATGGCTGTTGCTGGTGATGGACTGTCTAACATGAAGACGAGTGTAGCATCATGTAGACAGTGCGCGCCAGCGGCACCTTAATTTAGATGGGAAGCAAGCTGGTCCCATAGAAGTGCCCGAACGAATCTCGTCGTGCAGCAACAATGGCGGTTGATATTGTGCAAGAGTTGTTACCAAAGCGCCGGAGAAGCAAGGCAAACGACCAAAGCGGATGCACATGCGAACAAAAACGCGGCACCCAGGAAGAAACAACGGCTTAAGCGATCAAACTTGGCGGTTGGCGGCGGTTGCCCTGGTCGTTTGTTCCTGCCCAATACCCAGACACGTCAATGTGGCACCCTCTGTGTCAGATTCCGTTCGGGATATTGATGTTGATCTATCAGTACTTCAGTCATCAGAATCAGAGCTGCCGTCTTGTCTTCAGTGGACTGCTGGGGCCTGGTCGCTATCCACAAGCCAGCATGCAGACAAACTTCATGCTCACTGCAACCAGTGAATTCCGGCAAGCTTCTTGCCGGCTGACATCATGGCAAGACTCTTGGAACAGGAAGGGCTGGCAGAGGGATGCCTTGCTCTCGCTCTACTTCGGCTCGGAACTTAGACGTACCTCCAGCTAATGTGAGGAATCCTGCCTATGACAGGGCTTGAATGCTTGCTCATGATGAAGCCCCGCAAGGCCCTGATGGGAAGAGCATCGTCGATCCCTCACAGGCCATGGTCAAGTCTGCGGATTCCTGCGGGCCTCTTGCTTCATGTAAACTGGAGTGCAGGCATTCCGAGCCATCGCTGGGAAATGGATCGTGGGGTTCGGACCCTGTCTGATGCATAGAGTTGGATGCAATGTAAGTTCATCAGGTTTTAGGGTTTGTTAGGAAGAACTTCTACTACCACTACTACTACTACTACTACTACTACTACTACTACTACTACTACTACTACTACCACTACTACTGATACAATTGTATAAATATATACATATATTGACAACAATATTTATAGCATACACGTCAATCATCAATTGGGACACTGTCTGGTTTATCATTTATTAACCAAATCAAAATCAATTGTATCAAACACAAAACCAAAAGAAATGACAAAACAGAGTTTTGAATCATTTTTTTGTGCGAAAAGGGCGAAAATACAAAAAAAAAGAAACATTTTTTGTTTGACAAAAACGAAAACGAAAGCAAAAAAAAAACAAAATGCCAAAAAAAATGCATGGATCCTTTGTATTCACGTACAACGGTCATCTGGACGTTAAGTTCGTGTCCAATATGTTGGTGGTATGGCATAATACTTTTGGGTTGGTACATTTGTGGGTGGTGTTGGTACAATTTTTGTTGCTACTAATGCTTCAATTGCTAATTTTTGAGATTGAGCTTGTAACATTGCAATAATATAACCAAAGAAACCTTTTACTACACCATAATAATCTGTTTTAGTTGGATTTTTCTTCAAATAACTACTGCCACTCCTACTACTACTACTACTACTACCACTACTACCACTACCACTACTACTACTACCACTACTATTACTACTACTACTACTACTACTACTACTACTACCACTACTACTACTAGTACTAGTAGTAGTAGTAGTAGTAGTAGTAGTAGTAGTAGTAGTAGTACTACTACTACGACTACTACGACTACTACTACTACTACTACTACTACTACTACTACTACTACTACTACTACTACTACTACTACTACTACGACTACGACTACGACTACGACTACGACGACGACTACTACTACTACTACTACTACTACTACTACTACTACTACTACTACTACTACTACTACTACTACTACTACTACTACTACTACTACTACTACGACCGCTACTGCTGCTACTACTGCTGCTGCTGCTACTACTGCTGCTGCTACTACTACTACTACTACTACTACTACTACTACTACAGTAGGATCAACACAAGCGCAAAATTCTTCTAATGCTGCTTCGCATGCAGTGCAGCACCGCTCATCAGCGGACTGCATTTGTGGGACTGCATTATGAGAAGTGGAGTGCACTGGTTCCGCTGCACTGGAGTGACTGTGCTGAGTACACAGTGCAACATAGTTAGCAATCTAGCGAGGCACAGACATCATGCAGAGCCCAGAGTGTCCGAAGGGGAGGAAACCAGCAGAGGATGGATGCGGGGACTGAATCCGCTGCCTGTTGCCTGTTGCCGCTGTCGGCAAAACAAGCCAGAATCGCCCGAAATGCCCGGCACCACCAATTTCTTGAGCACACTCGATTTGGGCTGCAGTGTGGCGTTTCTGACTTATCAGCCTTCCAAGGCGGCAGTCCCAAGCACACCACTCGTACAGTTCGAGGAGAGTCTCGGCTCTCTGATACATGACATCCGACTACATCCTACCTCTCGCCCGAGATAAACAGATATCCAAAACGACCTCGCATTCGGAATTGACTCAAGCCCTTGACGACGTGAAGGACACCTTCACCTCAAGAAAAAGCCTTTCCCTGTACTCATTTGCAAATTGCAACAAGTGCACATTGCAAGCACAGCGTGTGGTGGCAATAAATGGTGTTCTCAAACTGTCTACAAATAGTGTTCTCAAACACAGCTTCTCAGCTACCGCTGCATGCTGTTCTCTGATGTCCTTCTGAGGCCAGTGTGCTACTCGCTGGTCTACGGGGGTCGCCTCCGACAGGAAGTGAAGGCAGTGCCCCCCAGGCCCGATGATCCAGGTTTCTTTCAGTTTTCCGGCTCTGCAAAGGACTGGTCGGAGAGGCTCTGTCAGTGGGACGTCCAGCAGCTGCTGCCTGAGTGCCGTCCACATGTTGGTAAACTTGCCCGGGCAGGGATTGGCCCCTTGTGCCGTGTATAAGGATTCTGCCTGGGCACTTTGGCGGACCAATAGGCCGGAAACGCAAGTTGCGCTCTGGAGCACGCATGCTGCCGAAACATGGCTCTACATCTGAGGTGGTGACCGCAGTGACATTCAGAGAGCTTTCGAGGTCCTGGAAGAGAATGTCGAGGCAATGGACAGATTTCGCACGTGCAGTTGCACCTTTGAGCTGCTGCTTCGTCTGGCAGGCAACAGAAGAGCCAGAATTTGCTTTGCCCTGGCCGTTTCCACAGCCTGTGCGCTATCCTTCAAAGGCCATTCGTGCTATCACACACACACACAATACTGCTGTATCTCTCAATGTGTCAGAGAATTTACGTTTGGATGCTCCTGGCATGACAGGACTTGAAGCTGCTGACAGACATCCGTGGCGTGCTTCAATCCCTCAAAGTCATATGACTGTTCTTTGGGATCTTTTGTACACCGCCTCATTTTCCACTGGCTAGATCTCCCTAGATGGAGAGCTGGTGTTGAGCTGAGGGTCCTATGCTGTGCATGACTGCGCTCTGTGCTGAGCACAAGATGGCCGTTCTGCGTAGCTCTCTGAGCACAACAAGTTTTCGAGGAGATATCACGCAGTAGCTTCGCTCGACGAGCGAAAGTGGGCGCGTGTTGTCTATCATCTCACCTAAAGACCATAATCGGGCATCTCTGCGATTTTCAAAGATATTGGGCGTGCTGCACCCGCAGAATGCTGCAGGCATGTCGTGACTTGCCCTTAAGCCCTTGTCTAGTTTGGTATCCTCTGGTGCTTGAGGAGATAGCGCGCCTGCAATCAACTCGAAGCAGTCGCCGCCGCAGACTCAATGCCAAGACATACCAAAGTTTCATATGCAGACACGTGCACGTTGAGGATTAATGCCCTGGTTAGCTTCCAATTTCTGGTGTCAGGGCAGCAGCGTGCACGGGATGAGAGGCTGACGATCGGTTGCGGCCTCGAAAGCTGCTTTGACTTGATGATCGCATGAAGCGCCTTTGCACAACCATGTCCCACATTCGTATCTACTGGGTATTCAGTTTGGTCTACACATGTTCGTACTTTGCTGCTGTGTGCCTGCTCTAGACCGGCATTGCAGCGTGGCACATGCAGGGGTCAGTCATTTTTCGATTAAGCACAGGTCACGGCTTGCGTGAGCAAAGGTCTGGTGGGGTACACCAATGTTGGCAAGAGTGCCGCAGCTGCCCAACACAGCAGCTTGTTAACGGTGGCTGTTCACGCTGACACACGTACACAGGAAAATTCTGCTCTCGTGCCAAGATCGTCAACCGCCTCACGAGTTCCGATCTTCTTGTGAAGGACATGCGCACGCTCTCTGCTGCTTTGGCGCTGCTTTGTGGCGTCCGCACCGAAGTAGAGCCAACATCTTGCGGGTTCGAAAAATTGAGAACGCCTGGCGGCGAACCAGCGGCCGCTCCCCAAAATTGTGCGCAGATACGGTTGTTGGGCCTGATGCAGGGGCGTGAACCCAGCGGCTGAGGGGGGAGGGGGGGGGGGGGGGGGGGAAAGGGGGGGGGGGGGGGGGGGGGGGGGGGGGGGGGGGGGGGGGGGCCCGCTGATGCTCATGATGCGAGGCTCCGGGCACCAGGGCCGTTGCCGCTAATGCTCATGATGCGCGGTCAGGGCACCGGGGCTCGAGCCGCTGATGCTCATGATGCTTTTTTTGTTTCGGGGCCCGAGCCTCTGATGCTCACGATGCTTTTTTTGGGTCCCACGTCGGGACCCCCAAAACCCGCCGTGTTTTCGAGGGCGCGCGCGAAACACGCGAGTTGTTCGAGGGGTTTCAGCTGATGCTCATGATGCGCGCCCGGCAGGGGCACACGGTCCCAGCTGATGCTCAGTACGCTGTGGCTTATATGGGTCGGCGTCATGTGCTCACCCCACCTATCCCTTGGATAGGGATCCCCTTTGCGAATCATGCCCATTCTTTGGGATATGACCGGCCCATCAGGGTGATCCTGTCACGGCCCCCCGCCCAGGGGGCTCGGGGGGGGGGGTGGGGGGGGTTGGGGGGGTGGGGGGATGGGGGGCGGATGAAAACCCAAATTTAAGACTTTCCACCCCAGCATGCCACCCAGGCCCCATGGTCCGAGAAGTCGCACGGAGCGGATTGCGGGTTCCTCTCCGGCAAAACTGTGCACCGACCCACTCCCCCCCCCCATCCCCCCCCGCATTTTGAGTTGTGCAAGGAGGGAAAGAGGGAGGTTTCACCTCCGCAAACCCATCCAACACGATGCCAAGCGTCGGCGGACTGAGAGCTGTCACGGACACTTTCATTAATCTGAATCTTCAAGATTATTGGGACCTCAGGCGTACCCAAGGTGTGGAGGCGTGTCTAAACCGGTGGTGCCCTCCAAGGCTCTAAGGGTAGGAGAAAGGAGAGGCATGAACCACTCCATTAAGTTAGCAGAAAGAAATCGAAAAAACATCAGCACATTTTTCAACATATTTCTTCGACCATCGCCACCCTACAGCTGCCCGATTTAGCAGCCGGCCGTGGGACTAGGGGTGGGCATTTTATGGGGGTGGGCACTCCAGGAAAATAGAAGCTACAAGAATAATCCATACATAGTTTAGACGAGATAGAGAAAAAACAGAACAGAAGGAGCAACAACAACAAACAACGACACAGAGAAACAAAGCCAGAAAAGAACAAATGAAGAAAGGAAGACAGGAAGAAATGAAGAAAGGAAGAGAGGAAGAGAGGATGAAACCAATGGAGTCTCTCACACCATCGTCGCCCACCGAACCTTCGAACCACCCCGATCCGGGGCGGGCGATGACGCCCGGGGGCTCCGGCCCTCACGCCCTCCGAAAGAAAGAAAGAAAGGATGAAACCAAGTGCGCGGGGAGGGGGCACCCCGTAGAAGAAGAAGGATGAAACCAAGAAGGGAAGAAACAAAGTAAACAAAGAAACGAACAAATGCAGAAGCACAACAATATTGAATGAAAAACCAGAAGCAAAGAAAGAACAACACATTGTGGAGTGTATGAACAATCTGAGATGCTGTAGTTCACAGCGCTTGGCGCCAGTGAACAATCAGAAATGCTGTAGTTTGCAAATGGCATTTGGAGCACGTGAACGTCTAAAGTGCTGTAATATACATGCAGCGTTATTTTGCACATGGCATTTGGAGCACGTGAACGTCTGAAATGCGGTAATTTTAACGCTACGCGACCCGCCTCGGCCCGGCCCAGCGCATCCGCGTGAGCATGGTGATTCCGCAGCGCCCAAGTCGCTGGACCCCAAGCAATAAGGGTTGGGTTGAGGGTTGAGGGTTGAGGGTTCCGGGTTTATGGTTTATGGTTTATGGTTTGGGGTTTGGGGTTGAGGGTTTGTTTAGGGCTCAAGGTTCACGCTTTGGGGTTGAGGGTTTTTTTGGGTTTAGGGTTCGGCTTGGAGTGGTCGTAGGGTTGAAGGCGACTCTTTGGCAGGGTGGGCGGGAGGGGGGAGGTGGGGTGGGGGGTGGGGTGGAGGGGGAGGGGGGGGGGGGGGTGTGGGGGGGGGGGGGGGGGGTGGGGGGGGGGGGGGGGGGGGGGGGGGGGGGGGGGGGTCGTTGCGAATTCCGGTTTAGGGGAGGATTTGGAGGGGTGCCTGTTCTGACAACCTTTTCACCTCCGTCCCCAACACCTTGGGCAGATTTGTGGCCGTGCTCACACCAGGTAGGGGGTAGGGGGGGCTAGAGGGGGGGGCTAGGGGGGGGGGTAGGGGGGGGGGGTTGGGGGGGGGGGTTGGGGGGGGGGGGAGGGCGGTAGGGGGGGGTGGGGGGGGGTTAGGGGGGCGGGAAAACGGGGGGCGCCCTGCTGGGATGGGCTGCAACTGCCTCTGGTCCTGGCGAGACATTCGCTTGCGGACCCTCCTCTCCTAGGGGGGGTACCCATTTGAAGCAAAAAAAGGGGGACCGAAAAGTGGCTTTGGGCTTGGGGGGAGGATTTGGAGGGGGGTGCCTGTTCTGACAACCTATACACCTTCGGCCCGAGGCCTCGGCGGATATACATGCTATGTACCTGTGAACAATCAGACATGCTGTAATTTACAGCCTTGGGAGCCTCTGAACAAACAGAAATGCTGTGCATTACGGCGCTTGGAGCCCCGCGCGGATACAAATGCTTCCATGAAAACCGACATGTCTGGAACCAGTGATAAGTTTTTTAATCCTGATGAAGGACCCCGGTAATTTGGTCTAGAAAGTCAAAAGCCATATCGGCCCTGAGGGCACCCAGAGCCCGGAGATGCGTCTGCACCCAATTGCTACAGGGCACGTTAGGGTTTTTGGGTTTGGGATTGGGAAGGCAGCCAACCTGTGGCATGTGGTGTATCGTAGGGTTTTGAAACATCGCGCGCTCTGGTAAATGGGACATTTCTGGCGACCCGAAAAGAGAGCTCCCGCGGGCCCTGCTGCTAACTTGCGCAAGGACATCGGGGGGTTGTTTGTACGCAACAGTCGCATGCTTCAACAAACAGGACGGCGTCTTCGTCACCTTGGATGTTGCTTCACGCCGCTGTGTGCTGTCAGGCCCTTATTCAGAAGCGAAGCCTTAGATAAACTGCCCTGTTGCTTTAAAGTCCCAGCTGAAGGCGCGAAGCTTCGGGCTTGTTCTCCGGTGCATATAGATATGTATGGGAGCGCTTTAGGCCTTCAGGCTCGAACTCACCAAGGCATGGCTTGAAAAAGGAGCCCAGGGCCCACAACAGGTTCGCCACAGATCCCGTTTGCGGATGCTTCTTGCATTAGTTGTGCGTAGCGTTGCTGCGCATGCCAATTGCCTCCCCCATGAATCTACGCCTGAAGCAACCCGTAAAAGCAAGTCCCCCAGCGCACAAAGGCCATCCGGCAGGGAGTGCTATGTGTTGGACTCCGTGGGCTTGATTCAGGCACGCTACAGATGTTTTGAGCGGGTGCATGGTGCAGTATTGATATCATTGTCGTGTCTGCGCTGCTACAGTTGTCAGGGCCTGCCGATCAATGTGTGTGCTGTGCTTACTGGGTGCGAATAGCCATGTCCTGGCATGCTAGAATAGGCAATTTATAGGCCAAGTGTCCAATGCTCCCAGGTGAAGCTATACAGGCCACCATGCAGGACTGCGCAGCACTTGTCCGTGCTGGGCTATGCTGCTACATGTACTGGACGCTGCTCTCAGGAGATGCACGATGCAGATGTGGTTCTGCACGTGCGCGACATCGCGCACCCTGCACGGGAGGCATGCCGAGCCTCGCTGCTTTTTGACTACTGCACACATTGAAGCTTTTCTGCAGCACCGGAGGCAAATTGGGCCAAGCTCTGTGATGCAAGCAAATTTCAAGCAGTTTAAGGGCACAATCGCAGAATCCCAGCAGGATCGTTGGGAGTTGGTTCGCGAGATGCTTGCCGATGCCCACATTGACGAAGAGAGGGTCGTGGAGGCATGCGTGTTGCGCCTGACATGACCTTGACCAAGTTTGTGGCCATTCAACCTGAGTTTACCTCTTTGCAGGTTTGGAACAAAGCTGACCTTATCGCGGAGAAAGAGGCTTCCAGTAGGCTGAATCTCGTCGATGAGGATTTCCAGAGCTGCGAGCGCGTTGCAAGGTTCGCCGCCTTCACTATTTGCGTCAGCAGAAGGCAGACGCGAAAGCGCAAGCAAACTTCAAGAGCTATGAAGTGATATAAAGAGTTCTAAAGAGCCATGAAGCGCTCTGAGGAGCTATGAGGAGCTTGAAGTTGAAGTTTTTCGAAGTTGTTGAAAGTTGTTCTGATTTGATTCGTCCAGGATTCGACACCAGTTTTCACGGTCAGTGCCTTGACAGGTGCTGGTTTTTGTGAGTGTGTGCTTGGTTTATGCCACTTGCCATTCCGATTGCTCATGGCATTTCCTGGCAAAGCACCCGCGAAGGTGCTGGATTCCCTGCACTTCTGAGTGGCCTGCAGACGATTTTGGAGGAGCCGCTGTGCACACCTCTGCATACTGAAGTCGTGCGGCACCTTTCTATGAGTCCACAATCATTCACAACAATCCATGCCTCGTCCTGGAAGTAGCATCTTCGAGAGGGATACTGTCAGAGTGTGGCCGTTTCCATTTGTTTTCTCCCAGCTTCGGATTGTTGCCGGTGTCGCCCTTCGGGAGCGGATTGTTGGTCCAAAACTGAACCCTGTTTTACCGTCTTCATCGTGTGTGTCCGGCGCGTGCAATCTCAAAAGTTGCCAAAAGGTGCCCCGTTGTCTTCAGGTTCGTGCGAGTGGGGTGATCCTCGACACATCTGTCTATCGTTTTTACCACTCTATGCCGTGCCGTCCGCGCGGCATCTGGAGGGCATTGCGCAGCGCATCTGCATTGTATACGCTTTCCGGCTCATGTCTGGTACAGTAACATCAAGGATCCACGTTGCTTGTTCCGTATGCGCCACACATGCAGGAAGTGGCCGTCAAAGCCGTGCCTTGCTCTCTGGATCGTTCTCAGACTTCTCAGGTGTTGTCAGCGTTTGCGACCTTGACCAAAGGCCCGGTCTTCAGTCCTCGTCCGCGATTCAGGCTGGAGCTGTTTTCGAACGAAGTGTGCGTTGACTGGCAGAGACTGGCTGCAACATGGAAATAATGATGGTGAAGAGGTGCCCCAGAGTGGATGGTGTACTGCTGCGCTCTCAAAGGGCCGCGTTTGCTGCGATTCAGAAACTAGCTGCGATTCAGGAAGCCAGGACGTAGGAAGCGATGTTTCAGGGAAACTGGAAAATACATACTGGGAAGGTGGCGGGGGGTGGTTGCGGGTGGCTTGGGGGTGGGAGTGGGCGTGGGCGTGGGGTGGTGGAGGCTGAGTGGTGTTTCCGGAATCAAGCCGTTTCCTGAAACGCCAGATGTCCACAATGTTCGAATCTCCAGTTTCCCGGATCGCATCTTCCCAGTTTCTGAATCCGCTCTGTTGGTTTCCCGAATCCGAGTTTTGACTTCTTCCCGCTTGAGGGGCCTGTCAGACGACGGCATACTCGCAGGTGGACGGTTCTTTCAGCTTCTTTCTGGAAAGGACTCAGCTTGTGACATCTTTCGACAGTGCTGTGATGCTAAGGTTCGATTGCCGCAAGGTTTGTCCAAGAGCCAGGCAGATGCTGGGCCCGTGCATACTGGGTGCTCATTGCATCTATTTGGGAGGCCGTTCATGGTGGCAGCGTGCAGGCAATCTTGAATCTGTAGGAGCCTATGAGATTGAGGGTTGTGTCGTGTTGAGGATCTCCTTTCACAAACCGTTGCCCAATTTGCCCGCCATCGCCACATTCAGGGCCTCTGACCAACCACGCCTCCCCACACCTTTCCCAACCGAAGAACACCGGCTGAATCTGATGGACGTGCGCGACTACCCCCTGGTCTGAGAGATGCATACAGTACTCACTCAATCGGCTATGCATCCTTAGCAGCAGAGTCGTGTGCTGCAGGCTTCCGACCTGTGGGCATTTCTCCACAGCAGCTCAGCGACCCAGCCGCAGACTTCTGCAGACACTCGCAATAGCGCAGAGGCAGTAAGGTTGGACTTGCTTTTCATGAGTTTTTAATGTGCGTATTTATCCCCCCCTCTTTCTTCAAAGCTCTCCCCTCCCCGCAAGGTTCATGGGAAGGTGGTCCGGAAAACTTGTCTTGATTCTATTGACTTTGGAGTTGCGGATCCCCTTTCAGCCAGCGAGCTCGTCTTTATGTGGACCTTCCTAAGGAAGTGCAGCTTATCTGCAGCTGTCGTAAGATAAATGGCGAGCAAGGTGGCAGATGCGACAGTTCGCACAGATGAGGCCAGATGCAGCAATCTTTGCTGAGTAGCTCCTGTAGTTGGCTTCTTGTGATTTCATGGCTTGTCTGTGGCAGGCCACAGGAGAAGTTATGGTCAGAGTCCGCATGAGTGAATCGGCAAAAGCCAGGCTTCGCGCTGTTTTTCCGTCTCAGCCCGCTTGGGTACGATGTCGTCTGCCTGCAGGTTTTTGCAGCAGTTTGGATCTGGCTTCCTGTCCTGAAGGGTTGTGCAGCAAGCTTAGCTCACTGGATCCACTGCTCTGATGCTGCGTGGCATGCGACACGTGGCAAGCTCAGGCGACTTCTTCGATGGCTTTCCGACCGGCAACGCCGGCAGGCACTTGCCAAAGCAGCCTGGAAATATGTCCTGGACATTCGGAGATATTCGGAGATACCGGCGAACTGAAGCCGGCTCAGATTCGGGCAATATAGAGAGTGTCGTGACCATCGTGACCTCCGAGGCGCACACAAGACAGAAGTACTGCGAATCAATGCGAACGCACATCTGATGAGACCTTGCAGTCAAGTTACTGAGTGGTCGAGAAGACCTGAGCGGTCTTTGCTGACGCCGCACGTCGAGCCTTGCATCCTAACCCTGGACGTTGTGATGACAGCCACACGAGAGCATGCCGGGGCGTGCAGCGGGCCAGCGCACGCTGGGCCAAGTTCGGTCGAACCTTTGGAGGAACCATGGCCTCGGTCAGACCATCACCTCAGTCTGAGACTTTCTACAAGATTTGGTGTTCAAGCGGGACCGCTTCGTGCGACTGCAGTCCGATCAGTGCTTGGACATACGGTCTGTGCTCTCAGCTGTAGTCCCCCTTGTGGCTAGATCCCGATGTCGCATTGTGTTTTTGTTAGGGTGTGCCGAAAGGGCGACAGAATGCTTGAGACGAAAACAATGTGAAATGGCACCGTGGCACCAGGCAGTTGCAGCACAAGGGTTGGTGCTTTCCGGGTTCATGGAAACTCTTCAGCTCTCATCTCAATTCGCCGGCTTCGAGGGATTTGCAAGCTGATCCTAGCCGAGTCATGGGACTGCAGGGCAGCCAGATGCCGAAGGCTGAGCCGCTGGAGGGCATCGAAGGGCATACAAAATCCATCTCTTGCGAGCGATGCAAGCCCCGCCCACTTTGCTGGCAGCATGTTTCCACATTTGGCAATTTCTGTTAGCCCTTGGTCGTGCACATCTGCTCTCCACTGACGATTGTCCCGTGCCTGTCAAAGCCATCATTGTGGATTCCACTGGCACAGATACACTGAGTTTCGGACCTTCCCGAAATGATTGCCAAGAAAGGTTAGCTACTTGCAGTGTCTCTTGGATTTCGTACGAGCTGGTTCAGGCGAATCATGATGTGCCTGCAGAGAATGCCGCAGATGGGGCACTGCTTTCAAGAGATTTTGTTTTGACTGATGCGCTGAAGTGGGTGCCTTTTGCTGGACGCAGCGGCCGCATTGCTTTCCTCGAGAGAATTCTTCCGATGCCCCGCATGGAGAACGAAAGGCTTGATTCCATTCTGGCTGCCAAGGACCTGCTGGTATCCGTGCTGCTACCCCGGAAGACTTCGGTGGCATGGGCGGACATGCAAACTAGAATTATTGCAGAACAGGTCATGGCGGTCTTGCCAGATCACACGTTTGTTGACGATGGGTTAGCGGCGACATATGAGCAGGCGTTCGAACCATACCGCTTTTCTTTAATAGTAGACGATAACAACGACACGGTGTCGCAAGCACTCATTCATTGCATCGGCTGGGGGACGATACCTCTATTTAATGGTTTCTCGCACATTGTTGCGATGTTGCCAAGAGTTGTTGTGCCGTGGGACAGAGCAGCCTTCCGGGTTGAGACACTGCTCACGTTCCTACCCTCGATTAATCACGGCGTGGCAGCGCTGTGGCAGCAGCATCGGCTCATCCAGGACCGGAGTGATCTGAGTGATCTGAGTGATCTAGTCTACAGTGCGAGGGCTGGAGAGTTCAGAGGCCACTGATTTCCTCAATTTCATATAATTTCATTTGCTTGCGAATTTCGGTTCAGCAGAATGGCCACTGGTTTTCTTACTCGAAGCATCTTCGTAGCAGGTAGCCGAGAGCAGGAGCAGCTGCTAACGCCTCTAGCGGTTCGAGCTGGGTGCAGATTCGCTTGAATGTTGGCTGGGACTGCACCGGAATTGCTACTAACATGGCCTAAGGCCCAGCTATACAAGGAGTTCTGTTCTGGTTGTGTCTTCGGGCTGGGTGGTTGGCCTGGCTGGCCTCCGTCTAAACAAGAAGAATTCTCAAAATCAGCGTTGGTTTCCTAATTTCCTCTTTTGGGCGGAGTATGGGGGCTGGTTGGCTGCTCGGCTTGACTGGCCTCTGCTAAACAAAAGAGAAAATTAAGAGAATCAGCACTGGTTTTCTTGATTTCCCTCTTCTGCTGGAGTCTTGGCATCAGAAATTATTCAGGAATTTCTGGCGGATGCCTGGAAGTGAGCACAGGTACTGGATTTTCTTGGATCGGTGTTGCGCTGTTTCCGGCCTCCGCCCGAAGAGGAAATCAAGAAACCGGTATTGACTTTCTGAATTTCCTTCGGTTTAGACAGACCCGCCACAAGCCAAGCAGCCGGCTCGCCCCAAAACTCCACCTGAACAGTAAATTCAGAAAACCAGTGCTGACTTTCTTAGTTTCTTGTTTAAACAGAAGCCAGCCAAGCCGAGAGCAGCCAGCCCGTTAGTAGCCTTTTTGAAGCGTTTCGGTCCAAGAGTCAGGCAAATCTGCTATTAGCCACCCCAGAGCCGGGTTGCCTTCCATCGAGAATGAGCCAAATCTGCTACTACTGCCAAGCAGCCAGCCCCAAGACTCTACAAACAGAAGCCAGCCAAGCCAGCCAGCTAGCCCACTTTCCAGGATCAGCTTTTGTACCGGTACAGCCGCGGGTTCAATGCTTCCTTGCGGGCAGCCGCCTGCCATTTGTGCTCTTATAAGCAGGCCCACCTCGAGGACGTACTTTGAAGTTTGCATGTCCGGAAGCCAAGCAATCTTATGTTGACTAAGTTGCTTATGGTAACTGTTGTGTGTTTCTTCTTTGCCTGGACACGCTTAGGACGCCCTGAAGTTTGAAGATGCCGAAGACGTGGAAGATGTGCTGCCTCCTTTGGTTTTTGTTGGCGTGTACTCGGCACAGGAGAATGTTCAAAAGCGCCAGGCGATACGCCGGACTTGGGCACGACCCGTGCGCACGCATGGATTTGATCTCAAGTTCTTTCTGGGCAGGCCCCATGCACATCTCGTACATGTGAAGGCAGAAAATGCGATACACAAAGACGTGATTCTGCTTGACGTTCAGGAGGGATACAGATGGAATTCAATAAAAGGACTGATGTTTCTGGAATGGTGTGCTATGAATGTGCTCGCGCGATTCATAGTCAAAGCCGATGACGACGTTTACCTGCGGCCAGAACCTTTGGTGCTCCTGCTGAAGCGTCGCCCCTCATTCGGATACGTATGGGGGTACTTCGACTATTTCAGCCCTGTGCCCGAAGACGAGCATCACGCTTTCTTCAATTCGGAGGACATCTACCCTTTTGCTGTGTTCCCTCCGTATGCAAGGGGGCTGTTGCGTGTGTTGTCGGCGGACGTAGTTGCCGCCCTTGCCAACATGAGCCTTGCTGGCAAGCTTCCAGTCATCTATGGAGATGATCCATGCTTCGGGGTTCACTTGAGATATCTTCGGGATGACATGCCGGGCTTGCCCATGCTCACCTTGGACGACAGAGATTCCTACCGCATCTTCGCGATGGAGCCTAGCTGTAACCCGGCACTGTGGTCACATGCGTCCCAGCGATCATGGATCATTCACCATGTATCGCCCGAGCAGGTTGAGTGCATGTGGGCTGCCGACCTTGATGCTGGTATGTACCAACTGGACGGGATAGGTCAGACAGGTCGGACAGGTCGGACAGGTAATGCAGGTGGTGCCCAATCCACGCCGGCAGTGCTGGAGGTGGCCCTGGCCGCTGCCAGCTTTGCGACCCAGGAGCGGCAAGCCTTTGAAGAACCGTGTCCCGGCTGGGTTGGAGGGGGTGCTTGTAGTGGAGCACTGCATCCACTTCTTGCAACGCTTTCTATCACTATCACTTTGTGCTCATGCTTTGGGTAGTTAATCACAGTTAATCATTCATTTCGCGGCGCTGTTCCCTAAACCCAGGCCACCATTTCCGGACATCTGCGAGTGTCTTGAATTTGGACCAATGGCAGCAGAGCTTTCTAAACGACAAGACAAGATCAATGCTACAAGGCTGGATAGTCGACTCGTCACTGACTTGTCATTCAGACATTCATCATCACTTGGACAGCTAGCAGCTTGCCGTGCATCTGGTTCTGGAGCATCCGTTTAGTCCCTTCCGTCAGGACGTATCTGCTGTGGGGACATCCCAGCCTTTTGGATCGAGAAATGCTCGAATAAGCTTCACTGCGGATTGCCACTGCATTCCAGGAGATGTTTGTCTTGCGCAGTGCAAAACGTCTTGAATCGGGTTGGTTCCACAGAGCGAGAGAGAGAGATAGAGAGAGAGAGAGAGGTCTGTAAGCCACTTGCTATGTGCATGTGGGTGGCTGGCACGGCAACCACAGTTGCATCTGGAAGTTAAAGTTCTGCCAACACGCGTAGTTTTAACGGCTAATGCGGTCCGCCTAGGGTCAGCGCGGGCTGCACCTCACTCAATTTGAGATGTAAACTGTAAACCTGGCAGTTCCTTGCTGTGGACGCTCACGACAGCACGTCCAGGGTTTCGGCTCAAGTGCTTTGAGTGCCAAACCGCCAAACCGCTCTGTACCGCATGCCGATGTTGCTAGTGTTGCCGTGCTTGCTTTTTGCTGGCGCGCTAGCCGCGGAGCATTTTGCTGAGGGCTCTGCAGTGCAATGGCCAGACGGGCCGTTACCATCCATCGATGCAGCTGAGATGTTGGTTGAAAACCAACGTGCCAGAGACCAACAACCGTGGCTGTTGCTTACGTGTTCCGTTGCAAGCTGTGCTGTCCTATCTGCTGTCAGGTTCCTTTGGCCAAAGTGCTGTGGTGTGCTGGCGTCCTTTCGGGCATGCTTTTCCAGAATTGGGGGCAATGTAGGCAACAGGGACGACCTTGATGTAGACTTTGAAGCTGGGTTGCAAAGTTCCGTGCAGGAATGGTGGCCAGAGTTTGCAAGACCAAGCCACCTCCCCAGAATCAACACAACAGTGTCCCGGCTGACGAAGATTATTTCGCAGCAGTGACCCAACGCGCATGGCGAAAACTGCACGCCGTAGACGTTCTTGGGAAACGCCTTTTGCGAGAAGGGAAGGCCGTGAAACAGTTCAAAGCTGCGGATTATGATGCCGATGAGCTGACGCAAGAGGCCTGGCCCGCAAGTCTCAAATGGCATGCCCTTCAGCATGCCCCTGCATTCATCCAAAGCGAGCCCGCGGCAGACATGAAGTATGAGACTCAGCGTTTGATCCTGGCTCGCTTGGTTGGCGATCTTGGGGATGCAGTACACACGGTTGAGGAGATGGAGATGGTGTTCACAGCTTGCAAAGTAGTGGGTGGCCTTATGGGCAAGACCCATGTTTTGTCAACTGGGGAGTGCATCCTTGAGGTGGAAGGGTTCGGGGCTTACGAAGCATCTGGATCCAGTACCAGCCTTATGACGACACTGGACATGGAGGCATCTCGAAAGGGGTACAAGGCCATCATTCTTCTGTCGACCCCGGCTGCTGTGAGGTTCTATTCGCGTTTCGGTTACACGTGCATGGAGACCTGTTCGTTGGAGCCTGCGGATGCCGTTTACCAGGCCTTGCATTACCTGAGTGCAAATGCAATTTATCGCCATGCGCCAATGGTGAAGTTCTTGCGCTGAGCCGGAGCAGCGCCGAGTGGGCCTAGCGCCCAGGCCGTTTGATCAGCTGAGGGCTGCTGGACATCTTGATGTTGGTTAGCTTCCGTCCAGCCATATCGGTCTCAGCATCTTGCCGGCTGCCAAACATTGCCAAGCTTAAGTAACCGACGATGCGGTCTTTTCAGCGCTTGGGAACAAGCGCCGTGGGAGCTTACGGCGTGCGGTCTGCTTTGCTGTAGCGGCGCTGTAGCGTGCGCAAAACCTTGCCATCCTGCTCGACATCTCTCCAAGCCGCCCTAAGTACGACAGAGCTTTGAGCGAAAGCTGCAAGCCAGCGTCGTTTCCATGTGCTCAGCCACCGCTGCTATTCACTGCTTGTGAGAAGGCTGGAGGATGGGATTTTGCCACACAGCTCCTGCGTCACACGCCAGTGTCAAAGATAGAGTCAGCCGCTGAGGCTCAGCAGAAAATGCGATGGGCGCAGGCAAGGGGTGACCCGAGGGCCGCGAGATGGCAGCTCGGGATTTGAGATGAGATCCTGAAGCCTGGGGAAGAGAAGTTGTTTTGTTTATGGTTGAGGGTGAGCGTGTGAGGACGCGGAGCCCTACAGCCCAGAAGCTTCCCGGGGTGCAGAGCCGAAACCGCGACTACACGTCAGAAGCCAAACGACCCTGATCACAAGGCATACCAAGGCATACCAAGGCAACACAAAGCTCGTGCAGGGTCCGCTAAGTATCAGGGTCCATAAAAGGTCAATTAGAAGGGGGAGATCCATAGATGTGTGCAGGAGGTCTTTGCAGATAGAAGGTCCATAGACGGTGCATCAGGAGCCCACAAAGCCATACACAGTCTTGACTGGCCATGGCATATGGCATAAGGGGTCCGTTGGGGCCTGGGGCTGGGGGTCCATACCAAGGTCAAAAGAAACCCTTGCAGTGGTCGTCCCGGCGGTCCAAAGTTCTTACCCTCGTTTTTTGGACTAGTGGACGGTGCGCCAGAGCATTTGGGGTCGACCAGACCGCTTCCATCGGTGCCTTTGTCGGAAAACCCTTGTTTGTGGGATTTCCCATGGATAGTTTTGGGATTTCCTACTACTCGCATCGACCTTCGATGATCCCCTATAGATTCTGGGCCCCCCCCCCATGATCCCCCTGTAAACTCTCATGTACGCCTTTTGAAATATCCTCCCTTGATGGACCTCCTACGGCCTACGGGGACCGTCGAAATCTCAGGGTACAAGAAAACCCAGCTTCTTTTGGGGGCATGGTACCCTCGCCTCTGCACCCTCCCCATTTCACTTAAGCGCGAGGCGCAGGGGCCGATCACATGCACACTGCAGCTTTTGACAAGCATCAAACATGTCATGTCATAGCAGTGATGAACCGAAGGATGGCATGTCAAATCCCATCCCCAGTTGTGTATCGCATTAGTTTATTTCATGCCTAGTCATAGCCGTCACAGCCCTTCCCACTTTGAATGACAAAGGAGCAAACATGGTTGCACTCCATGCTGCTCTCGAAGCAGTGATTACCCAAGCTTGGTGATCATGCTTCCGTAATTTTCTGACTTCGCACCTCAGACCTTAGTGCGCATCCATGCGCTTACATTGCGTGCTTCTCAGCAAATTGCTTGGTCTCGTTCGCGGCCGCATTTTGAAGACCACAACATGCTCCAGGTGATGATCGACAGCTTGTTCGTAATTTCCTCCTCGGGAAATTACCTTGTGGAGAGGCTTGGCACTTAGAAGGCTTCGACAGTAGTCAGCGCAGAATGGTGCAGTAGAGTCCGCATCAAGGCCAGTCACATCAAGGTTCTTTGCACATCAAACTCAGCCGTAGTAGCCAAACGATGCAAGCTGGCTACCAAAAACAAGAGAGCCGTGTCACACAGAGAATGTAGAGGTGTCAAGAAGCGATACTTATTAGGCGGAAGAATCACTTGTTAAGGTTTCGCAACCGGGGGGACGTGCCACCCAACATTCTGGACGACCCCACCCCTTAAAACATAGGTGATCCGCCAGGCTTTTTAATCCTTTAGCTTCAGGCACTTCTGTGGGCCAACACCCCGCGTGATCTGCAGATGCCCTAGTTTCATGTTACGGGTTGACATGGGTTGACCACTTCGCATGCTTGAACAAAAAGCACGATAAAACACGGGTGTCGGGCCAGAGCTTGAGGTGAGCCATTGCTTGAGAAACTCCGTGGTGGTGAAAAGCCCGAGGGCTTGCCGCCTGTCATGTCCTTGGATTGTTTGGTTATTGGTTGCAGATGTTGCAGTCTGTGGTGGTCGCTGCTGTTCCAGCGAGAATTCGCTAGTCGCGAGATAGTAGTTGGTAGTGCTACCTGAGTATCTGGTTGTTGCAGGTTGGGGTGGTCTAGCTGCAGTTAGTCTATGGCCTTTGCACCTGTTCATGTCTTCTTCATGTCCGGTGCAGCTGAGGTGTTCAGTGCAAACAGGAAGAACGTGCTGATCCATGTAGTTCGCGTGAGGGGCCATGAGAGCAGTGACAGGCGATGGATGTTTCGATTTTGCAAAGACTCCTGTGGTTGTAGCTTCTTGCAGCTTGAAGATGCTTGCTGTTCACATCTCGGCTTCCAGCACCGTTGGACGTACTGCGATGTCCAGCATCACGACACCCTGAAAACATTGAAAACCTTCACCGAGCCGAGAAGACTCTTCACACTTCACACCTCTTTAATCAATCCTTAGCTGTGTGGAGGGGCTTCTCTGCATTTCCTCGCAATGGTAGTCGGGGGCGAACCTCGAAGAAAAGTTGCCGGCGAGACAGTGTACGTCTTAGAATGTCATGCCGTCATGCCAGCCACACTTGAATCGCTGACGCATGTGTGTTCCAATTCCTTTCTGTTGGCAATGCTTGGCGAATCAGTTGAGACACGTCGCAAACGAAAGAGCTTGCTGAAGTTTGATGTGAGGCTTGCAAAGAATCGAGCCCTGATGATTGCGGCAGTGATCGAGATCATTCGCGAAGTGTTGCAGGTCTAGCCTTTCGTAGAGCATCATGGTTGCAGACGATTCCATAAACTGTTTTTGCTCTTTACCCTCGTCGTGGTGAGAGGAAAAGGGGCAATGAGAGGCATGCCTCAGGAAAGCAGGGGAGGTTTGATGGCTTGGATGCTGCTTCTTTGTCAACGTTGCTCACTCTCTTTTGGTCTCTGCTGCTCGTTGTCGTTCGCGTAAGTTGGTTTAGTACCCAGGCACTTGGCCGCTATGTCCGCTATGTCTTCATTCCTGTACGTAAATCTCTGGCGCTTTGACAGTCGGGCACAAAAGAGTCTTGCTCGCTGAGGCATGGCGTGACATGGCGCGCACAGTGGACAGTGTTGCTCGCGCAGGCCAAAGGCACGAGTTCCCAAATATACGGCATCTGCAGAATCTGCAGATTCTAAACATGTGACAGCTGCTTGCACTGCCAGTCTCTTTCACATCGGCATGCGCCTGCTGGGGCCGTGCCTGGTGATCATGGCGCTAGTGTTGAAAGGCTGGGTTGCTGGGCGGTCTGTGCATGTCTGTGTGCATGTCTGTGCATCTTGTACTACTGTACTTAGCATTTTCTGTGGCCACTCTTGGACAGGCTTCGTGACGTGCACATTTTTTTGGCATGCGTTGCCGATTATGCAAGACAGAGCTGGACTGATCGGAAGCTCGCTTTTGTCCTTTGTGGGCGTTTTTCTACTTCTGAATGCGCTGCCCGGCCCTGTTGGACATGTCAAATGGTTGCCGACAATATCTGCAAATGTGAGATTTGCGAGTGCATTTGCGCACTCTGAGGTTGTACAACTACTACAAGGTGCCGTTAGCATCTGTCAGCGCATGTGCCCGGCCGAGAGTTACAATCTGCCTTTCATCTGGAGGCAGTGTTCACTTCAGCTGGTCTGCCACCAGAATTTGAGAAGGCGGGTTGAATGGATATGCAATCGTATGCGCCGATACTAGGATCGTAATAGTAGGGCAAAATCAGAGCGATCGAGAGCGTGGCTCTACAATGCTCTGCAAAGGCCAAAGTGTCCCTGGTGGAATCCAGCGAGAATCCAGAAGTCGTGCCGAGGCTGGTGCTCGATAGTCCTCGGTAAGACAAGGTAAGGCAGCTGCATGCGATGTCAGTTTCATGTCACCTGCTCCACAGGAAATGCCCCAAATGCGCTTTGTTGAAGCCTCCTCGGGCGCATCACTGCAGCGTTTGCGGAGTGTGCGTCATGAAGATGGACCACCACTGTCCGTGCTATGGCTTGAAGCAACATTCGTGTAAACGCTTGTTCAACTTATACTGTAATCGAGCCAACATCCGACTCGTGTAGCGTCGTAGCATGTCGTAGCTGCACCTCGTGGTGCTCACTCGACTTGCAAGGTGGATAAACAATTGCGTTGGTAGCTTGGCTGCACCGGCTCTGCTGATTGGCTCACACAGCTTTCGAAGTGGTGCTGCCGTGGCACCTACAAGGATGCCATGGCAGGTCACCGCTTCTCTCGCTGCACGCCATGGCTGCCATAGCTGAGGTTTTGGTAACTACAGATACTTCTGCCTATTTCTGTTGTTCCTGGGCATGGCCTGCTTCTTCGTCGTTTGCGTGACTTACTTGCAACGTACTGTAACCAAGGGCTTAGAGTCGTAAAATGAATAGACCAAATTTGCCGGGCATGTGTTCGAGAGCGGTTTCGGAAGCCGAGCACTGAAAGCGGAGAGTGCGGAGAGTTCTCAATTTTGTTGTGACCTCTGAGGTGTTCGGAGTCTTCTTCCATGACGTGATCTTTAGCTGGTCTCGGCAAGGAACGCGAGCGTTTCGCCAATGCATCCTCACCTCCTTCATGAGTCCAGGACGCACTATAATGCTCTGTACTTGGAGGAGCTGCAAATGGGAGAGACTGGCAAGTGTATAAGTTCCTGTCCTATCCGCCTTCAAGGATATGCGCATCCATTCTGGCAGCTGTTTGCTTCCTCGGGGGGTTCCACACATTCTTGGAGCCCCAGCCAAAGCAGAAGGAGTCGAGCCCCATCGTTCGTGGCGAGTCTCATAGTGCGTGCATTGCGTGCTCTGTCTGAGGTGATGACGAATCAAACCACCATCGAGTTCCAGATTAACATGATGAAGCGTCGAGAGAGCCGGTACAACGGCGAGCCGACCCGATGCAACTTTATTATTTTTCCTTTATCTCTCAGCAGATAAATATGTATGTATATGTATATACATATGTTAAGCAAGATAGAAAATATAAATACACAAGTTGTTTGTCCGTTTTTGATTCTTCTTCCTTTGAAGTCCGCGGCGTTTGCGCGCTTCTCTGTCTCTCTCTCTCTCTCTCTGTCTCTGTCTCTGTAGCTCCGCGACCGGAAATTGGAGGTTCTTCCGGAATCCCTACGACATGGGCCGCAGCCGCAACTGCCAAGAGGTCTTTGGAGCCTCGGCGCTTTTTGTGTTGCTACACCTAACCCCAGTGCCCCTAAGGGTCGAAACAACGCGCGGAAGTTGCGTAAGTCCGGGTGCAAGTCCAAGTCGACAGTCGTTAGCAAGCGAACATGAGTTTCTTTTGCAAGCAAAGGACCGAATCGTCTTTGGAGTTTCATTTGGCTCTTTCCATGGATGGGGGCCAGGATTTGAAAAACTCTGTTGCGCAGACTTGAAGAGATGCTCCTCCTGTTCTCCTTTATCGCTATGTGCCCTGCAGGCTTTGCCGCCGACGGGAGATGGACTTAAATACGCGTCAATCTCTCGCCTTCAAGTCTGAGTTGCGCCTGTGAGCCTCCATGCGAACTCTGCCGATTCGCTTCCGCCTGCTGACGAGCGACGTCGGCTGGTTAAGGAGTGTTGCCCACATGCGGCGCTTTGCTTTCGCCAAAAACTGCAAGTTGGACTTGCATTGTTTCACGCTTGACGCAGCCACGTCCATCGGACTTGGCTCAGGTGTAGATGCAAGCGTCGAAAAGAGCACGTCTGGGATACTCGTTGTGAGCCATCCACGTTGTGTGTGAAGAACCACGCTCTCAGGACAGGATGCTTTTCTTGGCCGTTGTGTCGCACGAGGCGGCGGGCGCTGCAGTGCCACAACGATGGCTTCCACGATTGTTTCTGTCGCACTACAGTCTTGGTAGGAACCACCGCTTGCCGTGTTCGAGCTGCTGGATCGAGTCTACCAGGCTGTTCATTGCCATACGACCGCAAGCTCTTAGCCATGCAAAAGATTCAAACATACGAAGCACCTGCAGTTTTAACTCTGGCTACGCGTATGCTGTCAAGGTGCTCTTCAGATACCTGGGAGAGGTGAGCGAGGATGCACTGAGACAAAATTTCTCGACAGTGCAGCTCACATGCAATATGGGGCTACAGGTGGCAAAGGGTCGACAGACAGATTTCCTAACCTGCAGCATGCTGAGGTACCTTCTATTGGACGAGATGATCGACAGCGGCTTGCCTTTCACAACAGAGCTGAACAGTCTTGAGGCCACTCTATCTGAAATTGAGCGCACGCTGGCCCGATTGGTCTTATTTTCTTATTTGGCTTTCAGTCCATCATCGCTCCGCCATCAGCAATCGGAAAGGTTGTGCAGGCACGCTGCCTGCCTGTTCTTGGATGTCAGCACTTTCAGCATGCAAGGTACAAGTCCTAGGTTTGTCCAGAGTGAAAGGCCGTCTCCGGCAGCAGCACGCAGGTGCTTTCAGATGTGCCTTTGGAGTCCGCCGGGCAGGCTCAGCATGAAACAAACTCCCGGAGTTTTATCGGCCTTTCATGTCTTCGCAATTTTAGTCGCTATGTATTTGTATTTGCAAGATGCCAAATTCCATGAATTTCCGAGTTTCTGTGAGGCCGGGCCCCTCGGAGCTTTGTCTTCGGCTCTTGGAGCCTTGTCGTCGCTTGGCACCTCATGGCGCAGTTCACGGCACCTCTCTGAAAAGGCAGCAAGCTTCTCCCGCTTCTCCCGCATGTCTGAGGCATTCTCAAATCGGCGGTGCCTCTGCCGAGGTCCCTCCATCGGTAGCCAGTGGTCCATCTGAGAGGCTGAATTCGTTTGAAGGTGTGGTGGCGAAAGCAGAACGTTGCCTACGGCTCGAACGAGGCACAGGTTATGCTCATTCAAGCTGTCTGCGGCTAGAAGCAATACAGTATTACAAGATTCCGGGGTACGTTGGTGCAACATGCTCAGGTGTATGTAGACATTGTCGAGACTATCAGCTGTACATGCAATGGCAGTGGCAACATTGTCAGCATCCTACATGAATTCCTTGAACTGTCAAAGTTTCTGGAAAGCTATTTGTGAACAAAGGTCTCTGGTGGTATCAGCGGAGAAATCTTGATGACAAGCAAGCTGAGTGGGATCCCTGAGGCCTGCATGTGCGGCATGCGCTGAATGTCGATCAGTCTCTGTTGGTTCTGAGCGGGCAGAGGTGCTGCTTAGCTTGCGAAACCCAAGCATTTTGCAGAATGTGTCCTTTCATCCGTGTGTCGGCGGCTCAGTCTTCGATCAGGCCGAAGTCACTCCGGGGGTGTAGCCTCCGTTCCGGGTGCTTTGGCGCATTTAACATTCCAGGTCAAGCTCCCTCGTTATCAACGAGACAAGGCTGGGCCGGCGACCAGTTTCCGAGATATGTTGCAAACCAAAATGGAAACCGACAGCTGGATATCCAGGTGCTCTCCTTCATACCTCCTGACGGCGAGTTCTCGCTAGCCAATGCACTTCGGATGCAGTGTCTGCGAATCGACTGAGCTGTTATGCGCTCGCTGTTCGCAGTTGTTCGCAGTTGTTCGCAGTACTGGATTCCGGACATCACCATGAACTTGCCCTTCCACTTCTCGGTCTCTGTGAACTACCACTCCGACCACGGGAAAGTGCAGGCAAAGTGCATCAGCTTGCGCTCTCTGGAAAATCCCGAAGCCGACAGATTGAACTACAACATGCTACAACGTCAAAACCGAGCCTCCATGAGCCGCCTCACCAAGCCTGCGCCTTCTCATCTGTTCTCCTTCCCCGCCAGATTGCCGCAAGCCCCAAGCTTGCCGTGACCATGCAGCACAAACAGATGTTGATTGACAAGTGATGAGCCTAGCTGGTTCACAAGCTGTTCATGGAGAGGGGGGTTCCAAGTTCAGACAGTCGTCGAGGTTCGTCGTGAACGTTCGCCTGCCTGCAAGTATCGCTTCTGCGAACCTTGCTGCGGTCCTAGACCTGACAGTGTCGCCATGGCACAGACTAGGGAAGCGCCACTCGACTGAGGCGTGCCAAGGAGGGAGCGTCCGCTTTGACGAAGAATCCAAGGCGGACGTGTCAGTGCTTGACAAGATCGAGCACGCAGAGCGGCATGGCGCTTCAAAAACGAGCCTGCAGGTCATTGTTTGGAACTTGGGAAAGCTAGCCAGCCAGGCTGATGCTGGAGTCTCGTGCGGTGACATGGGTTGTCTTCCAATGCCTCCCAATCAGGAGAGCAAAGCAGAGGGCACCTTGACATATGCCACAAACCCAAAGGCCATCGCTCTGCTGGTGAACCAGTTGCATGCATTCAACTGTTGTACCGCAAGCCAGGATGGTAGTGTGCAAATTCCAAATGAAGAGAAATCCACCGCACAGTTGGCCACATTCTGAGCATACACTTACCAATCTTACCATGAGTTCATGGCGTTGCCATGGCAAGTCTGCATTCGATGCTCCTCTGTGCTCCGCTGAGGCTTTCCAAATCAAGGGGTGGGCGATCTCAGGCCAATGTTCGTGTTGAGATTCAGAATGATTCCGTATCGTGGGTGCAAAACTTGCGTGGGCCAGGAATCCGGCTTGACGCGTGCGACGTCACCAGCATCAACTACACTCCATACAAAGCCTCCAGGCACGAAGTCCAACAACATCCAATAACTTGTTGGACCACGGCCCAGTTTTCCTTGCCTCCCAAGCAAGTGGTTCTGCGTCAATCTTGCACAGGGCTTTTAAAACCAGGATGGCGTTATGTGACACATCTTTGCTTGCCACTGTCATCGATCTTCTTCGTACGGCGGCTATCTGTAAGGCGGTGTTCTTAGCTGCAGCAGACGGATGGTGAATCTGGTCGTGTATATACATATCTATGTATGTAACATACACACATGCATGTGCCCCGCGCTATAGCATGAATTAGACAAAGTGAATTCGATGAAATAGCTTCCATAAAAAGCTTGAGGCTCAGAATTCCAAAATCCCGAATTCCAGTATTCCAACAGCCAAAGCTGCTATGATTTCAATACCCACTATTCCAATATGCCATACTCCAAAATTCAATGACTTACAGGCTTTTGAATGTTGGAGTTCTTGGCCTAAACCTTGCGACTACTGATTATACCATCTGCTGAGTTAACACGTGGCCGCAAATTATGCATGCCTCTCAGACTAAGTGAGAGGAATGCTAATCTATTCAAAGGCTCATTGTCTTGGTACAGAAAAAATGTAGTGCTCCCTATTTATCCAAGTTTGCCCAGCAATTGAGGAGGAAGACCCCCAGTTGTACACAGTAAGTCGACCCCTCAGACTAGCAGCATCGTAGTTCAATTTGCTACTCATGACCTTATCAACGTTCGAGTTGCGAATTTATCCTTTCGCCTTTCGATGAATGAGGACTCCATTAGAGTACCATTGTTTAATGTGTCTCCTGATTAAGAAACCATCTTTCCGTTTTAATGGATTGAGTTGCTCCTTTGGTTTGTTCAGCGTGAGTAACTTGACAAGGCAAACAAACCACCCCTCGTTATGAGAAAGAGTAGTGATCTATTTTCGTGAATCCAACATTTTTGCGGCTCTTGCCAGCTATACAAGTCTGCCCCGAAGGCTAATCCATTCAAGGGCTCACTCACTGTACTGACTAAAATACAAATCTTCTTTAAACAACAAGTGGCGTCTCATAATTCTACAAGTCTACCCCTCAAATTGGCAGTTTCATAAGGAGGAAGGCTGTTTACTGTAAAACAATCTATACTAAGAAAAAGACAGTCGACAGAATGCAGTGTCTTCTAATTGTAGAAGTAGACCATGAGATTAGTAGTAAAGTATCTGAATTCTGCACGACATACAGCTCCAAGATGTGAGGCGACATAGTGCATGGTATGGTACCTTCTGTCCAAGACGCAGACGTGGGGCACATGGGGGGGTTGCCACATAGAGTCTATCCCAAGCTTTCAATCCTTCAACCTCAACCCAACTCTCTTCCCCTCATACTGAAACATGTGGGTCCTGGGTGGGATTCAATACCAGCTTTGGCAGCTGACGGTTTGAAATTCAACGTCAACCCTTGTATGCCTTATAGAATACCTTCACGTTATATTGTCGTGAAGTGCGCTAGCGCGTTTCCCAGGAAAAGTTATTTTATATCTTGGACATGAGGCGGCCCCCAAGTACACGCATTCCGCGACACATTTTGGATGAATAGCATGTTGAGAAATCACCATGTGTACATATGATATACGCATACATGTAGGCAAGCTTTGCTTCTGGGCTGAGCTAAAAATTTGCATGCGGAAATTGTACAAGGCAAGGTCTGCCCCCAAGACCTGGTGTACAGGTACACGACGACTGCTGGCAAAATCGAGTACCGGAGACTGAACCGCACATGGTATTGCATGGTAGTTGCATGGTGTTTGGCGGCGCCAGAGGATGGGTCCCGCTTGGCCCTGTGGGTACTGCGTTCAGAGAGCCAAGGATTGCCTGATGCTTGGGGCAAAGGAGCTGCACCAGATTGTTTAGGTGGTCTCCATCGTAGGACACGTGCAGGGATCATGCCGCGAGGGCTGCCACGATGCGCCGAAACAGCAGGTGCAAGCTCAAAATTCGAAGAATTGCAGGACAGCGTAGTGGCAGATGTTCAACAGACCAAGCATGTGCAGCATGGGCATGGACATTTCAGCCGCCCGAAGCTAACCCTGCATTCGCAGCATTTCACAGCAAATACAGCGGCCCAGCAAAAGATGTCGAATGAGTTGCAGCCAGAAGTCTCTCTAGACGGTCCCCTACAGTACTTGGCACAACACTGTTTTCGCAAGACTCCGTCTGTGGCACCCCCTAGTCCACGATCAGGCATACATGAAGAGACGGTGTGGATTTAACAGCCGACATGCGCACGGTCCTCACGGCAGCAGCTGAGGCGGAAGCATACAACTTTGAGCTTTGAGGAGCCAAGCGGAGCATGCGGCAAATTTGCAGGTGCTGTTATGGCCATTTGGCATTCGGCGGCGAGGGGGCAAACGTGGCGACAGCAGCTCGCCTAGCCTGGATAGTGTGAGACAAGCAATGAGAAAGCGTACTGGGAGCTCTGTAATTGATGCTAGGTGATCAAGATGGGGAAGGCAGTGACTGGGAAGTTGCCTGCTGCCTAAAATTTGCCTTCAAATTGCAATGCAAAGGTTGATCGCAACTCTTGGTGGCAAGGATCCAACACAGTTTGTGGCTGCCCTTTCTGGCGCAAGCTTGGCCTACTGGGCATGGGGCAGGCCAGCAAACTTCGGTTTTCCCAGACTCCCAGAAGCATCTCAGAAGCATCGCAGATAGAATCTCGTGTTCCGTTGTCGACGTTTCGAAGATGTGCAGGATGCGATCGCAAGCACCATTGGCCACTCCCAGTCCGCAGCCTGGTGCCTTGTGGACATGAGCGATTCCTTGGTGCCTTGCAGCTGAGGCTTGGAGGCCACATGTGGTTGCTGAGAGCAGCCTCACTGTAGCTGTGACATTGCTGCAATTGTCGTCACATGCCGTCATCTTGACAAGGGCCCACCTCCAGTGTGCCAATCTCAGCGTCCTCGCTCTGTGTGCAGTATGCAGATTTAGCAGAGGAACTCCAGTTGGTGCGGCACTTCATCTTGAATTTCAGACCAAGTGCATGAGCGCCCTGAGCGTGACTATTAGGACACGGATTCCTCTTTCAGAGTTTCTTGCTCTGTTACGAGATGGGGCAGTTACAGACACACCGGCCTGTCTTGTGGGGCAGCCTCAATGCTTGCAAATAGGAGGGCGACGGGGTCCTGTGTGCATTCGTTGCAATAAGAATAGTAAGAACAGTTATTGTTAGTTTTAACAATCATAGTAAGAAGAATAGGTCGAGAGTCCACTGTGTCACTTTGGGCCTGCTTATTTCCTTGAACATGCTACCCGGCAAGCTTAGTAACGGTTCGGTCCACAGGGCGCGCTCCTT